ACCCCGCAAATTTGTTGCATCTCCACAGGAATGACTCGAAGTCTCGAAGTGGGGATATAAAACCACTGATGCAGCCGTGAGAAGAGTAGACACAGAGTATGTATAGACACGACACTTGACAAGAACTAGGTTGCGGAAATTGATGGGTGTTTCTTTATCACCTCACGATCAGGACCATGAGGTTGAGGGGTTTTACTTTTTGTCATGTTGAGCAGCTGGGTTTGAGTACAAACCGAAGTTGGCGATTTCAATATTCTTAGTACTGTGAGTACTGTCGATATTATTGTTGGCATTCTCGATATCGTCACTATTGGTTTTGGTATTGTTTCCTATCATTATCATTCTAGTTTTCCGTCATCGCATAATCCGAAGATTTCTATTCCTAAACCTCAAAATAGTTCCTCTAGAGAAAGACGTGCAAGTAAACAGTCAGCACTATTGAAGTATCTATCGAGCAAAGCCAGCTACCCATCAGCTTATCCCGTTCATCTTTTTCGGCTCTTGAGGAGCTACGATATGAGGTTCAATAATCTTAAATACTTGATCCTGATGTAGTAAATGATTGGGCACAAAGAATAGAAGAGGTTATCTACATTCTACTTGTATCTACATTCACGAGTAGCGGGGATGGGGAATCTTGACCATGAATTCACATACATTCTTCTCTTCAACGAGGAGAAAAAAATGGGGCATGGTGTATATAAGTCTCAACAGCACGCCTACGCTACGAAAAGTACACATGGAGAAAGCATCACATCTGAGACTGTTAAGGACACAGATTTACTCGGCACCTTTGCCCCAGACCTAAAACTAGAAAAACATTAACTCATATTCCCCTCGCACCAACCGTCAAACATAGCTGTATCATTCCATAATCACATCCATCCTCCTCATCGTCATTTCCACCAAATACTTGCTATCGTCACTTTAATTTTGTTTTCATTTACACTACGTCAAAAGTGAGATAAAATTAGGTACACACGCATGCATGGCCTCGAACGAATACGCATATGCACTTCCTCAGTTTAAAGTACTCGATCATACACATGCCCTGGATCTCTTGCACTTTTTTGATTCGGGATATACTTGCTAAGACAAACCCGACATTTTCAGTCTTAAATAGATAGTAGAGTTTGAAAATGCTGAAAGAGGAGCTGCTAAGTGGAGCGTTGAAAGAGGAACAATAATTGAGTAGTGTTATGTTACATACCCAAAATATAACAGCTAATTCGTTCATTTTACTGCTGGTCTTGCTACTGTAGTTATCTTCTCGTTAGCTTGAAGTTGTGTGGTGGGTGGTGAGTGGTGGGTGTATAAATCTACTCACATCCGAATTTAATTTACAACTCTATAACATTCTTGCGCAACAAGAAGACATCGACGATGGTCCAGTTGATTTTTGTGAATGATGGATGATGGATGGATTTCTTGTCGTAGGACTTAAGTTGACTTCCTGTATGCAGATATGTATATAAGATATTAATCATTGGTGGTGGATGTATTTACTCTTGTTTTTAATTGTTTATCGTCGTTACTTTCCAGTTGTTATCATTTTTCCATTTAGTGCTTCAAATTTCAAGAGAGAAAGGGGAATATAGAAGTGAAATCAGCGGGACCTGGTTGAAAAATCCAATACTTTGATTTCTGAGCGGATTATGTTGTGGTAAGAGGGAATGGAATGGATCGACATCTTTCCTATGTGAAAAACTAATTGGTTGTATATGTTGTACATACTGGGAAGTCTTCAAGTATCTGGGACTTTTATAGTTGGGTTTGATGTTGTGTGAGGGAAGTTGTTGTATGGGTTGATACTCAGGGGGGGGGGGGGGGGGGGAGTGGAATGAGGTATATCAAGCCAAGAACAGGCATTTCTTTATCATAATACAGGAAATACCCTATTCCCACGATCAGTTTAGGATTGGATTGTGTGTTCTCTGTTTTGGTTAGAGTCTTAAGTATTCAGGCTGTTGCGAGTACTTATGAATTTTCTAAACTCGGGGACTTGGGGAACAAGCGAAGATTTATTGGGTGAGGATTGTCGTTCTCATTGGCATTCTTCCATTTAATTAAATTTTTCGAGGGCTCTGATGCGTTTGTCCGTTTTTTTGCCATTTCTGAACTTGATTTCACTGTCGTCTTGATGAGATGTTGATTTCGGCAAGTTAGCTGAATAGGAATTTTGATACAAAATGATGCCAGTACGGAGTGTTATAGAACAGACCCACGGATATAGACAGTAGGCTCTCAGACTTGACTCCATGATGGTGTAATATCCTAATTTCTTGATATTTTTGAATCAAAAAGGCTTGAATCTGGAGAGTTTATATACCATTATTGGGATACTGATTTGAATATTGATGGATGGGCCCTTGTGGGGTCAATGAGTCCCTCTATGAATATCCGAACATGCTATGCAGCTTTACCTTATTCATATATCCACACATTTTCACTTTTGCTCGCGTACCCCATAAACTCCCCATAGATAATTACAAAGTGGAATTCCTATGTACTATATATAAAGAGGTATCGAAGAGCACAAAGTCTTTATAGAAAAACAAAACAGTATCCATACTCGAGACATGTGGTAGACGCGGCATTGATCAATATCTACACAAAGCCTCCCATCATGACGCCAAGTTTCAAAATGTGTTTTAAACCGGAGAAGAGGGAATATATAGTCAGTATTGTTATCGACTGAAACTTCTCGTTGCCATTACGACAATTTCTGTCACCTGTAGATAGATTCTCAACTCTTGTTGAATACTTATTGAAGATAGTTTGAAACCCCAAAAACCAAGAATCATACCTAGAAGATTGACCACTTAGTCCCGAAGGTATTTTTATAGGCAGTCGGAACTCACTAACCGCACATGAATCATTTGCATATGGGCTAACATCTCTAGATACAGAGAAAAGGAAGAATCGTGGATCTTTAAATACCTTCTAAGTCCCGAAATTACCTCCACTTGAAAGATTTCACAAGTTGAAGGAACACCTCTAAGTTCGAGGAATCTGTGAAAATATCAGCGATACCGGAGACGGTGCTTGATTAATTATTATACGTAATATTTACCCTGAATGTTGGGAACTTGAGATATATAAATCACCACACTCGCGTCATCAAACCAAGAGAACTAAATACATCTTCAAGCATTATTGCAGTGAAAATGAGGTTTGTAGAATCCATGGGGCAAAGCAGTCTTCACATCGAATATCAAGAATACCCAAGTTTTACACTCCAAGATTGTCATCCGATATATCATAGATATCTATCCACCGACTCTTCCATTACTATTATATCAAAACCCCCGCTACCAGGAAATCTTCTCCGTTGTCGTTCGCAAAGGCCGTTGTTATCCATCATCCAATTCTCTCTCTTATGTCTCTCAATCTTATCCCCAGCCCTCAAGCTCTTCACAAAACTCCTCACGATCCTTACAAAAACCACCGTTCCCCCGAAAATTGGCGCTCACTTCTCAATGCCTACTACAGAATACGCACAAGGGACAACAACCCTGATATGGTATCATGATGCGCGAAGACTTCCATATTTGATTTCTATCATCAGAAAAGCTGTGTTTATATAGAGGTCCAAGATGAAAAGAATAACAGATCTCGCAGTGTCGAGACTTGTTGCAGTTCCTTTGTTCTACTTCTGTCTCTTCCTCGCTCGTCTCATCCCATGTCTTAGACGATGGAAACTCAAAAGAGTACTATATAGACCTCTACGAATCCTCTTCAAGAGACATCAATCTCTGACTAGCAAACATCAACGCCCATAGAAAGATGCGGTGAGAAATCTTGATCGAAGATTCTGGAAAGGTTTCGCAAAAATAAAGGGGTATCGTATCTCGGAGTGTACTAGAGCTTGGGGAAAACAACACTTGTTATTGTCATCAAATACAATTATTGCCGTATCTTCATACAAATGAACGCTAGCGGTAATCCAATTTCACTGCCATTTCTCTCTCATCAACCCCAATCTCTGAAGATATGTATAATCCCCCATTTTCCCTACTATCATTGTCATACACTAACCACCATTCTCCTCGATGCATTCCCTCAACTGCCAACTCGAATACTAGCCTCTAGCGCTCTAAACAAAACAAACCCACATATAGATCCATCTCTGCCATTATCTAAAAAAATTTGAACTCCTCAAAATCCGAAACTCGAAGGCTACTTATACACCGGAAATTGGAATTTCGCATTACACAATCACTTATTCATCTATTCTTGCTATTCTCTCATTCTTTTCCCTTTCCTTCTCCTCCCACAAAAATCCCTCCATCCATCCATCCATCCAATCTTCAACAGTCTACCGAAGAAGCGAGAAGGCGAGGCAGGAAGTATATAGCCCCCTCCCCCCCCCTCCCTCTCCATCTCTTCTTCCCATCCTCAAAATTCCCATTTATTTCAATAAACCATGTTATTAGGACTACCGAGAGAGAAGAAATAGGAACTCGTTCTAGAACGAAAAATCGACAAACTTCATCTGAATCATCTTCACAGCCCGGGACCAAAAGTCACGATGAGTATTTTTGATTTCTGATTTAGGACGGTGACGGTGACGGTGAGTTTTTTGCTGTGATCAGGTGTATACATGGGTACTAGATGTTGGTGATATTTATTTATATATTCTCGTCGCTTTCCCATTTGGTTGTCTATTGTTATTATTGTCGATCGATCTATCTGTATATTCTTACGGAGTTGTGCGGTTCTGGAAGACAGGACGTCTAGCTAGCGCTGGGGAAAAATTCTTAGGAGTGGAGAGTTGGGATTTAAGAGCTGAGAGAAAGGAATGTGCAGCTGCTCAGACATCCATAACATCGAATCTATGAGTTTGTAGTTGGCGATGGGTTGGAAGATTTTAGGTCAAATGGGCATATATATACACATCTCCTCGAACCTTTTTTCCCATGGCGAGATTACACGCGAAGCTTACCTATAGAGTGACGTTCAGGTCATATATGATTATCACATATTGAATTGCTAATACGTGTAATATAAATACGATGTATTGTAAACTAGTGGTATCTTAAAAAACTCAACGATTGTCTTTCTTTCTTCCAAATTTAAGACCAAAGAGAATTAACTTTCTGTCTGTCTGTTGATTGCCATTATCTGCACCCGCTATCTTCCGTTACAAATCGTCTGCCATCTTATTATCATCTTCCATCTCTCCTTTACCAGCCCTCATCAACAATCATCTTCCCAACCATGAAATTATCTCCCCCAAGCGAACCAAAGAAAAGAAACCTTTCAGAAACCCATTCACCGATTCCCAATTCTCTCACCTAGTAGACACCACCACCACCAACCTCCTTCACAACCCATTTAAACAAGTTCTTTCTTATGCCCACCCACATCAAGCCCACTACTAACACCTCTCGTGTCCAATTCCTGCTCGACCCAAACCTCATCTTCAAACTTATAAAGTTGAGGCTCCACCTCCCCCTTTCTCCTCAAAATCCACTTCCTAGCCCACCAAGGAAATTGCTGCTGAATTTGAAACTTCGCATGAGTTCTCGTCGGTACCGCAAACACATAATCTAATTCCTCCAACGTTCTCTGTTTAGTTTCCGGGAGGAAAAAGAAAATTAATGCGAATGCGACGAGATTGAGTCCGGCGTAGAAACCAAATACACCCTGGGGTTTCATAGCGGATAACATGCGAGGAAGTGTAAGAGAGAGTACCGAGGCCCAGAAATTGTTGGTTGCAACGGCCCAGGACATACCGATTTCACGATGGGATAAGGGGAAGACTTCGGCGGAATAGGTAAATGGGACGGGTCCTTCACCAGGGGAATAGGCAATATCGAAGAGGTAGATGAAGAAGGCCACCATGCCGATATGTGCTTTTGACGATTCGGGGATGAAGTAACAAAGACCTGCTGCGAGAAGAGTCCAGAACATTTGAGGGAATGTAAAGAGGAGAAGTGTGCGCCGACCGAAAGTATCGATTGTCCAGACAGCAGGCCACGCAAAGATAAAATTGATAAGACCGAAACCGAAAGAGGCAAGAAGTGCACCGATTGTCGTTGCGCCTGCGTTTTTGAAGATGGTGGAGGAGTAGAATGCAATGATGTTGACTAATTAATTAAATACGGGTTAGCGAGTCATCGCATAAGTTTTCCAGTTGAGGTAAAAGGGATAAGGAACAAAGACATACTTCCACACATCTGCTGCCCAATCATAACAATACCGCTCGCTTGTGTTGCTCTCCTCAATCTTGGCACCGTAAACAACTCAATAAACCTCGTAAACATATTTCCATTCTTCGCTAATCCACTCTGTTCCAACAAACGATCCTCATAATCCAATTGTGCCTGAATAGAATATAAATCTCTCGCAGCCTGCAATGGCGAGTTTCTCAAACGTAATAGCGATCGATATGCTTTCGGTACATTTCCTTTCTTCAACAACCATCTCGGCGATTCAGGACAGAAATATATTCCAATAACAAGAGGAATTGCAGGAACGAGCGCAGAACCAAATTGTAATCTCCATGCCAATGCGCCAGAATGCACAAACACGAGATTAGCACAGGTACCGAGAAAAATACCAGCAGCGGTCCACACTTGCCAGGACATGACGAGACCACCGCGAATACTAGTCGGAGAATTTTCGGCAGAGAAAACGGGAACGGTAACTTCTTTAAGACCCATTCCAATACCGAGGAGGACACGACAGGCCATTAGTTGGCCGTAGGTTTGGGAACAACCCATGCCGATTGGAGCGATGAGAGAGAAGATTGCTGCGACGAAGATGGTACCGCGACGGCCGATGTAGTGGTTTACGGGGTCGGAGATCCATGCGGTACTGTGGAGTAATCTATCAATTTTTGTCGGGGAGGAATGGGAAGTGAGAAGGTAAATGACAAGAGTCTAGATAATCGACTTGCAGAGTATAGGGCAAACTGCTTAGTTGCAGATACCGAACTGTAATTGCATCTAAGATGAAAGAGAAGTCTTAACAAAAAACTACTCACAAGAGACAGATAGCCATATAAGGCATTGCATTAATAGCACCAATAATCCACGCATTCTTATCGCAAGTACCTTGAGCTTCGCATATAGGTCCTGTATCTGGAATACCTAGAGCATCTCCAAAGGTAAGATTTGCGCCATTGGCACCTAATATCATTAGTCAAAATTTCTTGGAAATTTGCATATTCTTGAGTAATCTACCGGTTTGATCCCACTATGCGACGAGGTCAGTATTATTCTAGCAGGAGGATAATCCATAGGATGTAAAAACGAAGAAACTTAGGAAGATATTACTTACTCCTTGAATAGCAGCAGCAACGGAATTCAAAATAATAGTCATATAAAGTTGTTTAGGATGTTTCCAACGATGCGTAACTTCCTCCTCCAAAACTCTTCGATCCTCATCATCAAGTTCCGTAATCTTATCTGCATGATGAGGACTTTGCGCAACAAGTGCTCCTTTGATCAAGTTTGGGAGAATGTCAGTGAGATTGTGTTTATTTGCAAATGTTTCGACGTCGGCGAGGAGTTGATGTTTGGGGATACCGACGAGGGGATTTCGGATTCTGAGATGTGTTAGAGGAGAAGAAGAAAAACGGAGATGGGAATGGAGATGGAGAGAACATACTCGCCGGTGGTGTTGGCGGATAGTTGAGTGAGGTCGATTCCTCCTTTACGAGGAACCTCTTTTTCTTGTGCTCCAAGTTCATCTTTCTCGTAGGCGGGAGCTACCTCGCCAGTATTGCTGGAGATGTTTGTTGTTGCACTATCAACAGCCTTGTCAGCAATCATTAGAAAACCATTAGCTCACGAATAAAAGCTACCTTTGATCGTGCTTATGGTGAGGGCCCAAGTCATCGGCCATTTTGAATGTTAATCTCGAGTTTGGATACGTCAAAATAACTCTTTTCTCACAGCAGATCGATATGTTTATATGAACTTTGTAATCCCAATACCAAGACCGAGGACCGTTAATATCCAAACAAGAATACTGTCCAGTCAAGCCGGCGAGTGATCAACTTAATAATTTTCAAAAACGAAAGTGCGAGTGAATCAGACGAGAACACTAGATTTAAAGGATTCCTGGACGACAGACAGTGCATGCTGCATGAGCGTGCACAAGGCCCTACAGATGATTCACCATTCCCAATGAAACGTCGGTGATGCCGGCACCTACATGGAGTATCATACGCCTCAGATCTCCATAATCGTATATGAACCCTTCACAATGCATTTACAATTCACTCCAGAGCGCAAGCTACCCCGCATTCGAATCCCTGAAGCTGACGCTCCAATCCAGTCAAATCCTAGACCTCATTGTGTAACCCCAGAAACAGAGTATCCCTTGGCTTCAGTCAATATCTTCGTGCATGCATGATTATCATGTTTGTGGCGTGAATAGCTTCATCTGATTTGATAAGATTTTTTCGAAAATTGATAACGTGATCGTGTATCACCGGACTTTGTCGGTCGTATAAACATTCTGTGGTTACATGGCCAAGTTGCATTGATTAAGTGGCTTGCAAACTTTTGTAACGGATGTCAAAAAGGCTCAGAAAATGGCGTAAGAATGGTTACAACGAGAGCATCAGCACGTAAAAGATGGAGATCCTTTCTGAAAGAATATGTATATTGAAGTCATGAATAGAGAGATGATTTTTTCGTCGGTGAAGGAACCACAGCTTATGGTTACCTAGTACCAAGAAGATATTCCTACCTAATCATCTGCAAATAATTAGTGAGCAAAATTAAAGACATGACAAAATAACCAATCATAAGTATACCGTAATTTTCGTATGACCATAAATCGAACGATATGTAAGGAATCAGAAACCTTAAGAGATCTTTTGAAACAATGATTCAAATTTCAACTGCAACATCTGCAAGGCACCGGTTGAACTTTCCGAAGAGTGTGGCATCGCGCAATGAATGTCTCTATTGAGGTGAAAGACTCATTCCGACTAATAATGGGGGCAAGCCCCCATAGCACGCTACGCTCGAGATGTTAATAAAGATGTTGAAGATTGAAGGTATACATGGGGGGGTTTTTTTTTTCGAATAATCTGCCTCCACGGCAGTGGCCCCCGGAGGGCCAGCGGAGCGTCATTCAAGACCATGGCTATGAACAATGGTGGATATTTGATTCATTCATCTACCTAGGTAATTCATCCTTAAATCTAACGCACATCCTTGAAAATGTGTGAGAAAAGGGGGTTCGGGCTTTATCCACCGTCCTATTAAAGGGTTGTAGCGAAAGCCAGGATAAAGCGTCTTCTAATTCTTAATCTCACATCAATCCGAAAGGATCTACTCAATCTACCAACGCTCCGTTAAGAACAACTCTATGTGAGAACATGTTCCTGCAGTTCCTAACAAACTACGTCGTTGGAAAAGGCCAACAGTCTGTATTTTACTGTTCACAGACCCAATCTTGACGTGATGCCTCGTTCGTTCAGCACTTCGTATTGAAATTCCACAAGTATCTATTCAGACCTCTGCATCGACAGGCCACCCGAAATGGTCAAGTGACCAAAGGATCTGCTCTATGTAGTTAGTTCCTTTCCCCTAATCACAGAAAGAGGTGTACTTATCCCCTGCCCGGAGGGGTTGCCTCAATACTTTGGGCAGAAGTATGAGACAACCCAGGACTACCAACCATTAGGCCTGTCCTTGAACTCAATTCCCAAATGCCCTGACCCTCACCCACCAGAAAGTCCAAAATCATGTACAACCAAAAAGCTATCGAGTCAGGCCCATTAAAGAATCCGACAGAGCAATCAATGCTACCCATGATAGACAAGCACTAAGCTTTGACTCCAACACGAGATGGGTCCCATCATGGACACTGAAGTACTTTTCATCATCAAAATGAGTGATCTGAAACTATCCCAATTTGGTGCAACGACTTTAGGACAATCTATCATCACATTCCATCATTCGCGCTTTACAGCCAAATCATTCTAGAACCACCACCTTCATCAACCCATGTATAATTGAAACCCTTTATGAAGGGATCATCTCGATTCGAAATCGTTTTAGCGGCGAGCGACATAAACGATCAAGTACCTCAGCGTAATTCGAAAAACCTCTCTCTGTTTGAAAGGTATAGTCCACGAAGATAAGTTTTTGATTCCTCTGCAAGAAAGCAGGGCACAAACGGACAAAAGACATCAACAAAAGCCGTGATCATCTCTAACAGTTACGAAAGAGGAAAAGTGGTAACAAACATCCGAAAATGTTGTCCCAAAATACCGGCGTCTTCCATCACTCTAATGTATGTTGTAGAGGAGAAAGTTAATGCGGTGATCGTAGTTACATTCAGATGAATGACAAAGCCTATGGTCGATACCGCGGCAATGGTCTCGAGAAATGACTGCGTACATAAAATGTACGAAGCATTGAAATGAGAAAGGTTGGAGACAAGATTCACTCCCCGGAGGATGTAGAATACAATGGAAACGGAGTAGCTTCACCATTATCAAACCACGTTGACTCATCTCTTTAGATGTTCACAACAAAAATATCGAGAGGCATTGACTTTCCGGAGCATGGGAATACGATTTTCTTCAAATGATAAAGCATTCGAAGGACAATTCTTCTTGTAATCTCCATTCCCAAGACCACCCACAGCAGTGAGTTTTTGGTCAAGGGAATGTGTAGAGATATACAATCCGAACAGCCTGTATGTAATCTTCAATAAATATTCTGCTCGGTCTTTGCCCCTTGGATATCCTCATCATGTAATCTTCGAGAGTGTATAGAGAAAACGAGACGATTCGTAATAGCTTATATGAAGACCCTCATGATACCTTCTCGGAGAAGAACCAGTTCCATCTCAATTTGTATCTCCTTTCTCAAATCGACTTGCATTATCATCGAAGACAACCATATTGATCAAAGACGTCCAGCCGATTTCCCTGACGGAGCGTCCCTACGCGGGCTCTTACTAGAATAGCTCATAGCAGAAATCAGTTTTATCGTCTCTCGACATCTGGACTATTCATTCAACTTTTCGACCTTTTGTACATTCCTCAATCGCGTAACCTTTCGGCTTCACAATTCTGGTCCGAGACAAAATTTCTATTCAGAAGAACAAATCAAAGCCGCAAAGCTTTTGAACCGGCGGTATTCTTAGGGTTAAGTTCTGAATCGTATGATTCCTTTCGGAATATCGAGTCAGAGTCTGTAGGGTAGACGATATACTTGGTTTGTAAGGTGAGAGAGGGGTTTCGAATTCGTCGCCTTCAATCGAGGTATTTGGTGTCGTAAAGGTAAGCTCGTTGCTATATGATATTCGAATCGAGGTTGAAGCTCTTCGAGTGACAATTCAATGGGAGGAGGTAGGTGATGGGTAACTGGAGGTTTTTTTTGTGAGCAAAGAATTGCAAATGACAATATAAGAGGTGATGATGTTTTTCTTTGGTCATGACGATTGGAAGGGGAAGATGTATTTGCACGCGTTCGCGTAAGGCTGGATTTCGACGCGACACGCTAATTGATGGCCTAAAATTTTTACTTGTTAAGCTTCAAGCTTCATCCGCTTAGCCTTAGGCCTGAACATTACCAGTTAATAGGTAGATATTTGCCCATCAGTTGGAATTCTAGGAGTTATATTTATTGGGTATGTGAATTATAAATTCCCTTTCCTTGCATTGAGAACTTAGAACTTACTTTCCATTCATACTACAATAGCAATCATTTTGTACCTACTTTTCGCACCTGTTTTTCAATATCATTTATACTCACACAAAAGCTTGGAGTGAGCGAGAGAAAACACACGAGATTGCAGGTTGAAAGTTGTCAGCTCAATCTTATAGGCTCCGCAATGAATTCGAACGAGGAAAAATATCTACATTGATGTATGTAAATATGGGAGCTCGGTGGTCAAATCTTACTCAGTCTTATTAGAGTACGAAGCTCAGGCTCTTTTGAAGGAATTTGGGTGACGACGCAGCTTATTGAAAATGTCATTCAGGAATGGCTCCATAACCTTATATCCTTATGTGGAAATTTCTTCTCTCGAAGGGGCTACATAGGATGTACTAGGTAGACTCTTAGGGTATACTCTTTGTGCATACGCATGAACTTTTGAGATTTGTCGTTCTCATTTGAAGGGTACCAAAAAGTTATTGTCTTCTGTACCGGTGTTATATGAGATACTCGTACTCGATAAAAGAAACATGATCTAGAATACGAAGATATTATTATGGGGGTAAGCCCCCAAGCCCCCATGGCCATCTGGGTCTTTCCCACACAGCGAGACAGTTAAGTCAGCACATGCCATACAATATATAGTGGATAACCCCTAAACCTTATCACGACTACGCCACACAGGTGGTTACCGATGTTTCCAAATACGCATACAGTTCTGTTGTACGTCACCCACTCGGAACATTTGCTTCACATTACTTCAGAAACCAAAAGTTCTCTCCAGTCTGCACATCAAAATTGTGATCGATTTTAAGATTGAAGAATCAGCCCCAATCGGGGTTGTATGGAGATCTAGGCCGTGTATCACGACTTCCCGAAAAAATGAGGAACATCTTGAAACCGCCACGTTTTCAGGGTTCGTCCAATCCTGTGAAGAATCCTATTGTGACATCCCATTACCTTCAAAGTAAACCTAATCCGAACGATCCAATCCAAGACCTCACTATTAGTTTTCCATCTGAAGTGGAGCCTCGAAAATGTTAAAATATCCCAAGAATAGCTTGTTGCTGGCCGTGCGTCTGTTACAGCTTCGTCGAATATCCTTGTTTGAGCGTTGATAGAACGTTCCAAGATGGGCTCGTCTGAAAATCTTCATCAATGGCATACACGCGTTCTTCTTAGTTTGCTTACTTCTTAGATCAAGTTAGGTTATGATGACATGACGTGAAGATAAGGAGGAAGCTGATTGTAGGTTATCTCGAGGGGTTTTGTTCTTTTCTATTGCTGAATGTGATTTTCTACACAACTCTTCCACACACTCCTTTGAATTGCTTCATTTGCCTTTTACCATTCTTTTTCTTCATTCCTTTGACTTGATATTCTTGAAAAACTCCTATCCTTACCTCTTTACCATTTGATATGCAGGTCTTTTCTTTCTTTACAATATCTTTATAA